CCGTATCATGAGCGAATATAGCAAGCTGGTTTTAAAGAAATATATGTATGAGGCGGGAAAGACACGTCTGAGACTGTGATACATTCAGGTGCTATAAGCTGGTCAGATGAGGTTAATTAATTTAACTAAATATCAATAATTTTGTTTCGCTTAATGTCGAATAGAAATCCATTTAGTAGAAAGATCACAATGACTAACTAGAGAGGTAGACATAGTTCCGGTTTACACCAGATTCTAAAAGGTTAATACATATCCTGTCTACTGTTGAAATGGTTAGATGTAACCGTAAGTTCTATGCTAACAGTTTTTCCTCTCACTTCTCGCTTGTGAAACACTCTTCCGGATTCTTGCTTTCCAGTCAAACTTCACAATTTAAAGGCAATGACAATTGTTAATTTCTGTCTTCTTAATTCCAGCTTTTTCCTCTTATATTCTCTCACTGTTGCATAGCACCTTAGTGGGGCTGGTCATGTCCTCCTCCTGTCATCGATCGATGGTTGTTTTAGTTAGCAATGAATAATATCAAAGACAGATAATTTTAAGTTATCTAGTTTTATTATTGACGTCGATATGTACATTTTCTAACTATCCAGTGGGGTTGCTCCCCCACCCCAAATGATGAGCCGTTCCAGACACGAAAGTGAACATGTCTACATTGCTTGACATGTAAGAACCAACTCGCTTAAAATCCTTTATCTATCATTCCCACGCTAGCTCAGCCAATCAAAATCGACTCCGTTATTATGGTTTCTATCTGAGCTCGAATGTCAACCTTCGGGATTCGGAGCCAAGATACACTTCCACTAAAAAATAATATTATAATTTCTCATTCACACTCATTAACTCTGCGTTTTAGAGGTTTTATCGGCTAAGTGAAATGATAACAAATCGAGTTTTAAAAATTTAGAAATTGGTTTGACTTACTTTATATATATATATATATATATATATATATATATATATACCGCTTATTCCGCTTGTTGCAAACTTCGCATCAATATGAAATATTATCCTCATGTTAATTTGTGAGCCTACACTTCCACGCTGGCTCAAGGCATACTGGAAGAGAGCGTTTGAAAATTTTCCTACGGGGGGGGGGTGCCAATACTTTCTGCGGAAGACTGGTTGCCAATCAAGAATACAGAACACAGTATGCCTTGCTATTCAAGCAATAAATGGAAGGATTTTTCAGTTTTATTTCTCCATTCCATGTCAAGTTGATTGCTTGGTTGGTCCTTTACATTTAGCAATATATCTACCTCTACGGGTTGTTTTAATGCCGAAATTTATATTTTTTATGCAATTTTATTTTATTTTTGACAATAATAATGGTTCAGTGATACAAGTCTTACTAATTAACCCATAGCTAGGGGGAGAAAAGTTGGCTTCATAGCTTTCCCAGGTATATTTGCGTGTATGTGAATATAACAAACTGGAATTGGAACTCGACTCTCCGATTAATAATTCCAAGCCATTACCCATTACACGAACTGAACATCCAAGCTTACTGCACTTGATATTATCAGGCGGTCACCCATCTAGGTACTGACCAGGCTCGACGTTGCTTAACTTCTGTCATAGTACGGGAACCGGTGTTTCAGCGTGAAATATTCAGGGAAACGCCCACTTGGAAGTGTTTTTTACAAAGTAGCAATTCTTGTTAAAAAAAAACTGTCTGAATGAAAATTTCTTGTTGGAATTGGGGCACTGGAGAAATAAGGGTGATTCGAATCCGTGGAAGTAGCTTAGCATGCTCTAGCTGTAAAGGTTTGAACTGGTGACACTAAAGAATGTAGCTGATCTGAACACTTGCCATGGAAATCGCCATAGAATAACGACGGGTTAGCAACGTTGCGTGTGTGCGAAAGATGTTGCTAATTGGAAAATAAATAATCTTCCAAATCACGCAAAAATTCTGAACTTAACGCTGGAAAGTGAGGATTGAGCAGCTCCAGACCAAATATGACAGCAAGGCTCCATTTTTGGTTTGAACCCTTTTAAAGATCAAATATGGCGGAAAATGTCAAACACTTCCAGGAAGTGAATCGACCATTTTTCCGGCTTCTTTGGAATTGGGACACTGGAGAAATAAAGGGCGATTTGAATCCGTGGAAGTAGCTTAGCATCACCTAGCTCTAAAGGTTTGAACTGGTGACACTATAGTTGATTGCTTGGGTTGTTTTTATGCTGATATTTAATTTTTTTTCATGCAATTTTATTTTATTTTTGGCAATAATAATGGTTCAGTGATACATGTCTTACTAATTAACCCATAGCTGGGGTGGAAGAAGGTGGATTGATACCTTTCCCAGTGGTATTTGCGCGTAAGTGAATGTAGGGAACTTGATTGGAATTCGAACACAACTTCCCGATTTCTCATTCCAATCGAATATCAATTACGCCGCAAAACGTGGAGACGTTGATATAAGTCAAATTTAAGGAGAAGCACAAAAGTAGGCACAGATTCGCTTTATAGTAGAATGAAAAGAAAGCATGGGTCCAGTTTAGTATAGTGTTAATAGGAAACCAAAATCCCGTTGACATATGCCCGATAAACACTAAACAAAAAGGAAGGTATGGGTCTGGTTTACACTTGACTCGAAAGGATAGACATCAGTTTGCTCGGCATTCCTGTCAGATAAGAAGACATAGATCCGGTTGATACTATATTCAGTGATAAAAAGTCTTTATTACTAGAGTAAAAAATCGCGTATATTGGTGATAATAAAAGCTAAATTCAAAGATTATTCTCATCTGACCTAGCTCTCATAGAACAATGGGAGAAGACACACTTGTATCATTCAATACCCCACCCTGAAGAAAGTTAGTAATGTTTTATCACTAGTAAGCCGACACTAAATTAACTCCAGTTACAATGGTCAGTTATATCCTGAATAACGATCCTTGCCTCTAATATCTATTGGAGTAAAATCTCGCTCCTGGCCTCAAATGAAACTATAATTTCATTTCCCCCATTATGAGCATTAATATATCGATGGTATGATAACACTGTATTTCACGGTCAGAATAGACTAGCTGAATGGAAAAGTAAAAACAAACTTGATTTGTTCTCAAAGAGAGTTTTTTTTTTACCACTAAGTCATACACAAAATTATATATACATATTTACACGTGTCCCACGCAGAGAGAATCAAACATATTTCTACACAGCAAGCAGAGAGAAAGAAAACCGAAAAGATAGGGTCTTACATATAATATGAAGATTCTTCTGTGGAGAAGACATGTTTAGGACGGATTCATCTGCGATGTCACAAGCGAGAACGTATTTCGTGAACAGGAGACGTCGAGCCGAGTCTTGAGATTTTCCGAATTGAGTTCTGCTAGCCGGAGAACGTTTCTATCTATATATAGATATATTCCGAAAGTAAAAACCGTGCCAATAAAAACAAAAAAACAAAAAACAAAAAAAAACGACTGAAAGACTGCGGCTTCCGTCACTGTACGGAGTGACGTCACTAAGGGGTCATCAGATGACCTACGTAACTTTATCTCATTAAAAAGTGAGATAATCGTCTTTTGTATCCCTACAGAACTCTCGCTAACATAACCGGATGAATCCAGACAACATCTAACTATTATTGCCATTCTCTATCTTTACAAGAATCAGACCGGACCAAGAACTGAGTGTTGCTGGCATAACTGGCCTGGCCTTGCCCAGTGCTCACAGCCCTGCCTTGACAGAGTACAAAAACGATCACGCGACCTTGTGGTTGATTAATAACTTTCAAACGTGCAACACATTACCCTAGAGACAAAACGCTGTTAGCTTCTCACTACATCCTCTTTATTACTATGTCAAATCTTCAGACGAGCTACATTCCTTAGTTATACCAGCTCAAAAATCTTTCCTTTAACATATGTTCATTACTTAGAAGAGAAAAAGAGAGTAGATATTTCTAGGATATATAATGAGTAAAGATGGCTTAACGAATTTGATCATAATCACAGGATTTGTTGAAGGCAGTGGAAGCAGAGGGAAAAACGAATGATTTACCTAAGAATCATTTGTAATTAAATAGTAGAAAAGAGAATGGGAGGGATGGTGTAAAGACAAACATTATCAAGTGCTACAAACGATTGGAAGTTGTGGAGACCCATGATTGTCCACATCCTGAAGAGACGCAGTACAGCGAGGATCTTTGATTGGTTGATTTGTTTCCTACGGCTTATCAACCCTTTTCAGGTTATTTAAAGCCAGAAAATATTTTTAGATTCTAAGGTGTGAGCGGGGAAATAATAATGATTTAGCAATACAACATCATTTACATTATTCGGACTGTTATCGTCATCTTCATTCCGATATTCACAATATTTCGGCCGGTGCACGCTCCAGCCTTCCTCAGGTGTTTGGAATTTCAAACTGAACTCTTTATTTCGTCCACCGGGGTAGATTATTCTTCGTCCACATGCCAAGCCTCTTCCGGATGTCGCAGTTATTTCACTTTAACTCAACGCTCCAGGTTCAGGTTCACCACTGCTGTAGCTTGGTATTGAACTCACAACACTTTGGGTCTAGTCACTGGATCTAACCAACGCCTTTATCCACTGGGCCATGTGTCACTGAGAAAGTTGGAGAGTTGAGTAAAAGGGAGACATCCGGAAGAATGCATGGCACGTGGAACTAGAGCAACCTACCCCGATGGACGAAATAAAGAGTTAGCTTCGAAATTCCAATCACCTGAAGAAGGCTGGAGCGTACAACGGCCGATACGTTGTAAATATGGCAATGAAGATGACGATAAAAGTCCGAATAATGGAAATAATGCAAGTAATCATAATACTTCATCCCAGAATTATAGACAGTTAGCGATACAAGTCTTATTAATTAACCTAAACTGGGAGGACGGAATATGTGGATTCATGCCTTTCCCAATGTTATTTTCGTGTAAGTGAATATAAAGAACACTACTGAAATTAAACTCTGCTCTCCGATTAAAAATTTCGAGCCATTATCCATTTACAACACACTCATATTCAAGCTTACAGTAACTGCTTTTCCCAACCGGTCCCCCATCCAGGTACTGACCAGGCTCAGCGTTGCTTAAATTCAGCGATAATACAGGAACCGGAGTTTCAACGTGATATGGCCGTAAACCACAGAAGAAAACGAAGACTTAGCAATTTTTCTAATGTTCCAAAAATATCTAACTCCACTATCCCAAATTATTCCCTGATATGATTTTGTCCGTTCATTTGTTTTCGCTTTTCATTTTATCCAATAAACACTGGCGTCTCAATCCGGACAAATGTGTTCAGTGGGACGGGGATATTCGTGTTAGCGGCTGTCAAATGTCTCCTTCGAGTCTGCGCTGGTCCAACGGATCTGAGACGAAGAGGGCGGCAGCAAGCGTAGAAAGGTCACTTGAAGGAGATGTAACCTTTAGGTTTCGTGTCAGATTGGGGTGGGCCACAAGGTGCAAAGCGTCAATTGCGGTCAGACGTTCAGCAGGAATCAAATTTAAACCCAGTTGTTCTTCAAACCTTAAATACGATCATCGGATCAAATTGTATGAAAATATAATTGACACACACACATACACACACACAAAAAAAAAAAACACACACATATATATATATATATATATATATATATATATATATATATATATATATATATATATATATATATATATATATAATTTTATCACACACATACACGTAATTTTTACATATATATGTGTGATAATTATATATATATATATATATGTGTGTGTGTGTGTGTGTGTGTATTTTAAACAGCATATTTTCATTCAAGCAGTTTTATATAAATATTTTAAACGCATTATATATATATTTATTTTAGTTTTAATCCTTTCAAATCCACGAATTAATTTCTTGGTGGCTGTAGAAAATTGGTCAAGAAAAAGTTTATTTAAAATAATTTTTATTTCCCCAAGTATTTTCAATCTCATCTGGGGTTAAGATATCTGTTGATGGATATACAGTAGCTCCGTAAACTCAAAATACGAACAGTGAAAAAATATTTTGACATTACAAATCTACTGCATACACATTAAAACAAGTAGACATAATTTGTCGAAATTATCTAACCTAATCTGCTTGAATATATATATATATATATATATATATATATATATATATATATATATATATATATATATATATAAATATATATATAAAGGATAAAGTAGCCAGCCGACGCGTTCGTCCTCCGAGGGATCTTATCAAGGAAAATACAAAGATTTTATTTTGTAATAAGTATTTATATACAAGATAAAAAAAAAAAACATCGCTTACTCAATTTTGTTTATTGGTCAGTTAATTCTGCCACTTCCTGCCATCCAAATCTTGCCTGACTTTTCATCTAACCTGATGAATATTTAGGATTGTTCCTGTATTTAAAGATTTTGATAAATCAATTACATTTTTGCTCTTATTTATGAATATTTTTTACAAAATAAAATCAGAATTTCAAACTAATTTTATTCTATTTTTCCTCAGACTGTATTCAAAGGCTTCATATTATCCTGTTAATATTATAGCATCCACTCAAGTTACAAAAAATTGTTTAAAACAAAGGTGTATGAAAAATTAAAGTGACCCATGTAAAAGCTCTCATTGTTCTATATTCTGATAAAAGGGAAGAATAAGTAACTTTGAATGAAATTGGCGCCAAATAATAACAGGAAAGGTTAAGAATATATGAAAAGGTAAATCGGACAATCTTAAAAATTCAACATAAAGTGTTCCTACCTAAAATCTAATTTCCGGGGGCAAATTTAGTTGCAAGTCTCAGGATCCTATCATTTCGCCAAAAGTTCCGACACGTGAAAGCTTTCAGCGGCTGTGTGAGACTGGAACCATACCAGATATTACTCTTCAGAGTAACAAGACGTTTATCATCTTAATGTGTACCTTTGTTAAATGACGAGTCGTCAATATGATTAATTATTAATTCTTAAGTCTGTTCATAATAAACTGCGAAGACTGATACAATATTTTGCTTACTTATTCCTACTGTTCAATATTGTCTATAACAACGCCCACAACCGCACCCTGAAGAAAAAATCACCAAAGGCAATAATTTTTGAGATGTATTTCTTTCTGAAAACAATGACACAAACGTAACCTTCTAAATAAATAAACGGTAAATTCTGTCCGTCCGTCCATATGTCTAAACTCAGATCACACTTACTCTACATAGACATATTATGCCTCTTTGGAATCAGGATGATCCCGGGATTGAATCAATCCATCATCTGGTGTTTAACCTTCCAACACTTTGTCTGGATGAAGCGGGAACAATTAAAAATTCAAATTTTAAAATAACTGAAAAAAATTAGTGATTTTAAATGTTTTTAATTTATATTGACTTTAATGTAACGCAAAAATTTAATTTTTTTTCTTTTGAAATACAGTGTAAGATATCTCTAAAACTTTATGAATCGAGGAATTTTATTTTTCAAAATGCCAAGAAATTAGAGTGAAAATGAAAGATTTCGTGAAGTGGAGTTTTAAATTTTCGCAGAGATTGATTTGAAGAACACGACTCACTTGAAGTTCCACTGACTTTGGGATTTGAAGAACTCGATTTTTCTGCCTGAATCAGAGTTTTAAGACGGTAGAACCACTAATACGAAGGGGGCTAATGGAAGTGAAAGGGAATAAAACCCTTTAGAAGAAACCGGAAATAAAAGCAATCACGAATAGGAAACAAGGGATAAAACCCCTACTTCTGTTCAACTCTTAAGAAGACATCTTTATTTGAATGTCATCCCAGACCTAAAGTTAAAATCATATATACGATGAAAAATATAAGAAAAATTGTCGATTTCTCGTACTCCAGGAAGTAGTGGATTCTTCCTATAATGCTCAATATCTACAAGAGTGAGAAGAGACTAAAAATTGAGTACCACTCCGATATCTTGGAGGTGGGGAGGGAGCTTCCTAGTCCCCGCTTTCCATTCTTTATAGAATTTGAAAGCCTCAACACGGTCTTGTAGATGATGAATTATGTTCTCCTCTGTGTTTAATTTTCCATAGAGCGACCGTCACAAGCCTCTGGCTAACCTAATGCTCTTTCCAAGATAAAACCTTCTGAAAATCTACATTCATTATTTTTACCATTTCAGACCATTACAGTTACAACTCACTATGCCAGGTAACTGGGACAAGCTATCCTCATTCCCTTCGTATTTCATCCGTAAGGAGGAAGTCCCATTCAGACAGCGTCTTCACAACAACTGCTCCCTTGTGTAAGAGTCTCCCAAGTGGATGCTTCTTTGATCTTTACTATCTTAAACTCTTTAAGTCAATATTAAACCGTTATATATTCTCATAATCTACACTTCTTTCCGTTGAACCTTGTATCGGGTTTACAATTAGAAAGAAAAAAACAATTCCTAATATTTTCTCTATATTTAAGCAAAATTTTTTGAACCCTGAAGAGTTAAAAGCATCTCAAGGAGCCGTTATTGCCCGTGTTGAGAATCATTAGATTAGTTATTTGGGTACCATACATCATAGAAAACTGAGTTAATATCGAATCTGGAATCAGCAAGCCAATCTGGAAACAGCAAGTCAATTTGGAAACAGCAAGTCAATTTGGAAACAGCAAGTCAATCTTGAATCATCAAGCCAGTCTGGAAAAGGCAAATTAATCTGGAAACAGCAAGCAAATCTGGAACCAGCAAGCCAGTCTGGAAAGTGCAAGTTAATCTGGACACAGCAAGCAAATTTCGAAACAGCAAGCCAGTCTGGAAACAGCAAGTCAATCTGGAAACAGCAAACCAGTCTGGGAACAGCAAGCTTATCTGGAAACAGCAAGTTAATCTGAAAACAGCAAGCCAATTTGAGAACAGCAAGTCAATTTCGAACGACAAGCCAATTTGAAAATAGCAAGCCAGTCTAAAAACAGCAAGTCAATTTGAAAACAGCTAGCCAATTTGGGAACAGCAAGACAATTTGGGAACAGCATGTCAATTTGGAAACAGCAAGTCAGTTTGGAAATAGCATGTCAATCTGGAAACAACAAGCCATTTTGGAAACATCAAGCCAGTCTGGAAACAGCAAATCAATCTGAAAACATCAAGTCCATCTGGAAACAGCAAGCCAATCTAGAAACAGAAGGTTAATTTGGAAACAGCAAGCCAATTTGGAAGCAGCAAACCAATCTGGAAACAGCAAATAAAGAAATATTAAAAGCTCAAATTAGAGCAGAAAAATGATCCATTAATTTCTTTCAAAAGTTCAAAATATATAAAATTAGTTAAGAACGAAGCAAATGAATATTCACCAGCAAAGAATGTTTAAATGAAAAAGAAAACAATACAGACATGCAAAATAAAAATGAGTAACAAAAGAACCCCTTAAGAAACGATAGAATAAACGAAATTAAAATAAAAAAAAAGAAACAAAAACAAAACAAAATTGTACTAGTGAAGAGTGCGATTGTCATCATGACCTTTGACTTTTCTAGTATCAAGCGTTCTAGTCTTGAAGTGCAGTCACTAGGTAGGAGAGGCCGGGACACTATGTCACATGGTCGACTAGGATGAAACGTATTGGATATTAATTGGTCGTAATTATCACAGCAGCAACGCTGGCTTCGCGCACGCATCGATGGGAAAAAAGAAACTTTTCTTTGGTAGCGGTAGAAGGAGCGTGGTGAAAAAAAAATGTAAAGAAGGAATAGAAAGAACTGGAAGAGGGGAGTGGGTGGGAGTCTTTGATTTTGTTCTTTATTCATTAACAATAAACAGAAAAATACTCTTCTCTCCCGCCCCAGCCTTTGGCTTGTCCCTCGTTCGGCATAAAAAGGCTTACATCCGCCGCACCCAGTGACGATCGCATCTCGTCTGAACACGAAGCATCCGATTGCAGCGAGGACCCAACCCGTAAAAGTAGCCGGCCACGCTCGGCTGCGTTTGTTTCCGACGGCTAGTTGGCGCGTAAAATGTTCATGGTAATTGTCCGCGGCAGAGCTGACAAATAGAATCGGAACACTACGACATCTTTGGTGTGCCGTGCCCCTCCTCGTCACTGTCACTACAGAGCGCTCACCTCCCCTTCAACTCTTTCTCCTCCTCCTCCTCCTCCTCACCTTTATTCTTTACTGTTTCTTTTTAGCTCT